CTAGTCAAAATATTACCCCGATTTGCAAATCATTTATTAAATAAACTTCAATCATTTTCTGTTATTGGCTTAATATGATTTTTGTTTTAACAGACTCTAACCACCCAGACCTGTGTCTCCACAAGTTAGGAGTCCGTCCTTCCAGCCCCTTGCCAAACAGGCAAACACCAGTGGCTTCGATAATTTGCTAGAATGATTCACAGAACTCACAGAGACTACTTATACTTACCCATTTACTATAACCAGAAAGGATGCAAGCATAGAGATGCATCAGGCAAGGTCTGGGTGAGGTCCTGGCACAGGGCTTCCAGTCCTAGAAGCCCCAAATGTTCAGAGTCCCCTAGTCATTGGGAATGAAACCATAATGCAGTTATGATCAATCTAGTCACTGAATATCCATGTTGTATCCGGCCCTCCTCCCTTCCTGATGCTTGTCGCCAGGGTAGGGCCTACGTAGCCTCCTACTTATTTACACTTGTTTAAGGGCCTGTGTCCAAAAACCCACTGACATCCAGTTGATTCTGACTCAGCAACCCTATAGGACAGGGTAGAACTGCCCCATAGGGTTTCCAAGGCTGTAATCTTTACAGAAGCAGATTGCCACGTCTTTCTCCTGCGGAGCAGCTGTGGGTTCAAACTGCCAATGTTTTGGTTAGCGGCTGAGTGCTTAACCACTGTGCCACTAGGGATCCTAAGGGTGTGTGTAGCCCTTAATTATTTACACTTGTTTAAAAAGTAAAACCAGAATGCTCCTTAGAAGCAAGGATGGCGAGACTACGTCTCACATACTTTGGACATGTTATCAGGAGGGATCAGTCCCTGGGGAAGGACAGCATGCTTGGTAAAGTAGACGGTCAGTGAAAAGGAGGAAGACCCTCAACTATATGGGTTGACACAGGGGCTGCAACAATAGGCTCAAGCATAACAATGATTGTGAGGATGGCTCAGGACCAGGCAGTGTTTCCTTCTGTTGTACATACGGTCGCTATGAGTCGGAAGCGACTTGATGGCACCTAACAACAACAAAGTTTGGCCTCGCTGTTTTAGAAAGACAAAGAGCACTTTAATTGCTATTTTCAAAAAAGGAGCCCTAGTGAAGCAACTCTTAAGCGCTGGGCAGCTAACTGAAAAGTTGCTGATCGGAACCCATCCAGTGGTTCCGTGGGAGAAAGACCTGGTGATCTGCTCCTGTGAAGATTACAGCTGAGGAAACTCTTTGGGGCAGTTTCACTCTGTCACGTGGGGTCACTATGAGTCAGAATCAACTCGACAGCACACGGCATTTTCAAAAACCAAAGACAAAAAGCCAAATTGAGTTCTTTGTCCACAACCTGCCAAGTTCCATGCTCTGTTCTATGCCTGGGGGATACAGGAGTCAATAAGAGGATCAAAAATCCCTGCCCGCGGGAAGCGGAGGTTCTAGTGGGGGAGACAGACAATGAAACAATAGAGTGAAGCAGATGCCCTGAGATAACCTTTAAACCTTAAACCAGAAATATCCCCTGAAGTCTTCTTTAAACCATATAGCAGTTTAGCTTAACTAGTAAAGAATGTCTGCCCTGAGCATTGTGCTCTTTTAAGATCTGTCTGTATGGGATCAAATTGACAGCAGCAACTCAAAAGGTAAGACAGGAACCTTAGGGGGCAGTGAACTTAATGTTTACAGGGGAGGAACAACTCAGAAAAGGAGGGTGAGAGTGGTTGCACAATATCGCTGAATTGTACTTGTAAAAGTTGTTGAGTTGGTGTATATTCTGAACAACAACAACAACAACAACAAAAGAGTAAACACACTCAGCTACTAACCAAAAGGTTGGCTGTTCGAGTCCACCCAGAGGTACCTCAGAAGAGGGGCCTAGTGATACGCTTCCAAAAGGTCACAGCCAGGTAGTGAAGGGTAACTAAGATAGGTCATTGCGGTTGTTCTAATATCACTGATGTCAGCATGAGCAATAGTAACTCTGGAGCCCCAGCTGCTTAGTACAGACACAGAGACCCTGCTGAGAGTGTTGAACCCATTGCAACTGCCATCAAATCAATTCCGACTCATAGCGACCCTGTAGAACAGAGTAGAACTGCCCTATAGGGCTTCCAAGGCTGTAAGCTTTACAGCCTGTCTGCTGCAAAAGACCCCTTTAAAGTGTTAAAAAGCAAAGATGTCACCTTGAAGACTAAGGTTCACCTGACTCAAGCCATGGTGTTTTCAGTCTTCTCATATGCATGTGAAAGCTGGACGATGAATAAGGAAGACTGAAGAGGAATTGATGCCTTTGAATTAGTGTGGTGTGGGCGAAGAATATTGAATATACCATGGACTGCCAAAAGAAGAAACAAATCTGTCTTGGAGGAAGTACAGCCAGAATGTTCCTTAGAAGCAAGAATGGCGAGACTACATCTCACATATTTTGGACATGATATCAGGAGGAATCAGTCCCTGGAGAAGGACATTATACTTGGTAAAGTAGAGGGTCATCGAAAAAGAGGAAGACCCTGGACAAGATGGATTGACACAGTGGCTGCAACAATGGGCTCAAGCATAACAACGACTGTGAGGATGGTGCAGGAAGGGGCAGTGTTTCGTTCTGTTGTACATAGGGTCGCTATGAGTCAGAACCGACTTGATGGCACCTAACGATTACAACAACAACAGCCTTTACAGGAGCAGATCTCCAGGTCATTTCTCACTCAGAGCCACTGGGTGGGTTCGAACCGCCGACCTTTTGGTTAGCACCTGAGCATTTAACCACGGTGCCACCAGGGCTCTTTGGAGAGGGTTGAGGATGATGTTATTTCCTTCCAGACCCACTAGCTCAGCCTCTGAATGACTCGAGGCAGTAACACCACCAGGAATACCAGGTGGTGTTGTGGCTACACGAACGCTTTCTGCCCCTCCTCTCACCCCCTCAACTTGCCTTCCTCCTCTGGGACTTTTTACTGGTGTGCGTGGCCTTTTCCTACTCACTCAACAAGTATTTATTCATTTTCTGTCCATTCTGGTTCATGATGGAATGAATGAATAAGAGAAGGAAGAGAGCCAGGTGGATTCACCAAGGCCTTCTGTGTGCAAGTCCCAGGCGTATATAAGTGTGTGTGTTTATGTTTGTGTATGTATCTCTATGTGTGTGTATGTAGTGCGTGTGTGTATATATATATGTATGTACATATGTACGTGTGTGTATGTATACAGGTATACACGCAGTTACACATGTATACATATACACGTGTGTGTGTGTATATGTGTAGTGTGATATAAATGTGTGTATATATGATCTGTATATGTGTATATATTTGTATAAAAATGATGCAGTGCAGGGACGTCTGACTTCCTCCAGATTCACAAGATGGGAGGAGAATGTTGATGAACATCAGCCCAAGGCTGATTGCTATGAGGTGGAGGTCAGACATGCCTCCTCTCTCCAACCTTTTCACCAAATCTGACACCAACCATCCCTCCCACGGCACTTTCTACTTCTCTGCTAGCTTTGATAATTTGTTGTAGTGGTCATACAGAACTCCCAGACAATATTCACAATTGTGGGGTTTATTAGGGAAGTAACAGGTTACAATTCAGGATCAGGAATGATTCAGGATACAGTTATTTGATCAGGACAGCTTCTTCTCAGCCGTGCCCGCAGGTAGGCCTCTCTCTGGCCCTCAGCCCATTGGCCCTTGGCCTGGGATCTGCCCTGCTCTGGCAAGTGTTAGTTAACGAAGCTTCTTAGCTCTGACAGTAAGCACCCTACTCCACCAGTAAGCCTCTTGCCTGACAAGTCTCAGCTCTGGCACTTCGTGTATCGGCACACCCACTGTAGCCACCCTGCTCCGTAGGCCAGGAAGCCCACCGCATCATTTCGCGCCAGTCTCCTGGTTCTGTTGCTGTTGTTTCTCTGCTGCTGTTTCTCATTGTCTCCAGTGTTACAGCTCTCTGTCTTCTGGGTCTAGGAGGTTCTCAGGACAGGGACCCCAGGTCCAAAAGACATGTTCCACTCCTCTCTGTTCTTGTTGATGATAGTGAGGTCCCCTCTCTGCTCAGGGATTGGCTCTCTTTTAAGCCTAGTGGAATGGCAAAACTAACCAATCCCTTCATTAGAGTTCAACACACCTTATTTGCATAGTCCCACCCCCTGCAGGGGTTCCATGCACCTTATTTGCATTATTAGCAGGCTGTCCAATCCCCTTGGTGGTCCACAAACACCTTATTTGCATAGTCACACCCAGTCATTTTGTAGAAGTCACAAGATGACGATGAGAAAAGCCACACAAAAGTGATTAATCACACCACAATATGTATATAAGTATATATATGTATGTGCATCTGTTGTGCATATACAGTGAAATGTGAGAACCAGAACTTGATGGGACTGCCTTGTTTTTCTGGGTCTTGCAAGTTTTCGTCTTTGACAGGTACAGTCTTACCGCTTTTGTATCCTGTCTATTAGTGGAAAATATTTGAGTTTTCCTTCTCTGACAGGTTTCCACCTTACACGGGTTCCAGCTTTCACAGGTTTTATTGTATATGTATGGCAGTGGTGGTTCAGTGTTAAAATTCTTTCCAGCTGTGTGGGAGACCTGGGTTCTATTCCTTGCCAATGCATCTCATACACAGCCACCACCCATCTGTCAGTGGAGACTTGCTATAGTGCTATAGTGCTGATCAGATTTCAGTGGAGCTTCCAGACTAAGCCAGACTAGGAAGAAAGGCCTGGTGATCTACTTCCAAAAATCATCCATAGAAAATCCTGTGGATCACAATGGTCTGGTCCACAGCTGATCATGGGGATGGTACAAGACTGGGCATTGTTTTGTTCCATTGGGCGTGGAGTGACCATGAATCGGGCTGACAAGATGGCAGCCAACAACAACTGCATGTGTTTGTGTGTTTACGTGTGTGTGTGTGTGTGTGTGTGTGTGTGTGTGTGTGTGTGTGTTTAGACATTCTGTTTAGGAAAGCTGCCTTCCCTTCCCTAAAAGACTTTTCACATCTGCCTCTGTCCCACCAGGTTCCTGGACAACCCAGAGTCCCTTGTGGAGAAGTGTAGCAGGTGGAACACACCTTCAGGTACGTCCTGAAGGATGAGGGGACAGGGGGCCGTGGCGAGACCAGGCTGGCTCAGGCCAGTCCTGAGATTGCCTCTCATCGCACTCCTTTATTTTCTCTCTTTATTAGAGTTTTTCAAAATACATACGTAACATGTGCCCATTGGAGAAAAACCAAAGTCTCCATACAAAATAAATCCAGAAGTGTCCCTGAACAACAACAATAAGAACATCAAAAAACCACATGCATGTATATTTTTTAATAATTTATTTTTATTCTTTGTTGTTGAGAACAATACCAATTCAATAATTTCTACATGTACTATTAAGTGAGATTACATTCTTTGAGTTGTATAGCATCTCTCACCCTTCTTTTCCAAATTGTTCCTCCCCCATTAACATAAACTCATTACCACCTAAGCTTCCTATCTAACCTTCTGAGTTGCTGTTGTCAGTTTTATCCCATATAGATAGTTCTTTAAGACAGTACAGCGCTTACATATTCTTATATAATTTATTTTTGTTTTTTATCATTGTTGAGAATCTACATAGCAGAACATACACCAGTTCAACAGTTTCTACATGTACAAGTCAGTGACATTGATTACATTTTCGAATTGTGCAACCATTCTTACCCTCTTTTTCCAAGTTTTTCCTTCCTCATTAACATAAACTCTTTGCCCCTTAAGTTTCCTACCTGATCTTTTGAGTTGCTGTTGTCAATTTGATCCTACATAGATAGTTCTTACAAGAGCACAGTGCTCAAGGCAGACATTCTTTACTACTTAAGCCAAACTACTGTTCGATTTAAAGAAGACTTCAGGGGATATTTTTTGTTTAAGGTTTAAAGATGATATCAGGGCAGTAGTTTCAGGGACTCATCTTGCCTCCATGGCTCCAGAAAGTCTGGATTCCATGAGAATTTGAAATTGTTTTGTATTTTCCTCCTTTTGATCAGGATTTTTCTATAGACTCTTTAGTCAAAATGTTCAGTAATGGTAGCTGGGCACCATCCAGCTCTTCTAGTCTCATGGTAAAGGAGGCAGTTGTTCATGGAGGCAGTTAGCCACACATTACATTTCCATCTCCTATTCCTGACTCTCCTTCCTCTGACATATATATATATTTATTATACTTTAGGTGAAGGTTTACAGAACAAATAGTTTCTCATTAAACAGTCAGTACACATAGTACACATATTGTTTTATGACATTGGTTAACAACCCCATGACATGACATACATATATTTTTTAATGGAACCATATAACCTATATTGGCCTCCAAATTGCCTTTTCTTCCTTTAAGAAGAATAAATCTTGGACATTTTCTGTGTTGGTGCTTGAAGAATTTTGTCAATATTTTGTCACCTCTGAGTACCGATTCCCAGGCTCTGAGCTGGCTGCACTGCTAAGGTCTCTCTCTCGTGGTGCGGTGTGTCTTGACCACAGGGACCCTGCAGGAGTACCTGAAGGTGGTGATGTCCCTCAAATATGATGAGAAGCCGCCCTACTCTGTGCTGAGGAACAATCTGGAAGCCCTGCTGCAGGACCTGCGGGTATCGGCCTACGACCCTGTGGACCTGCACATGGTGCCATAGGTGGTATCCAGGTGGGAAGAGACCGTGAGTCCAAACCCCGCTCACTCCTTCCCCACTTCCCCAGCTCTGACCAACACTCTATGCTGAGTTGCCCCGGAAGACCTACTTCACAGATACTCGTTTTTTTTTTTTTTTTTTTTTGTAAAAATGTGGATAGCACAGCATTTGCCATTTCAGCATTTTTCACATTTAGTGAGACCAATTATATCAATCATGTTATGCAACCATCACCAATATCCATTGCCAGATTTTCCGTCCCCATAAACAAAAACTCAATGCTACCTAAACAACAACTTTCCCTTTTCTCTGTCCCTCCCACCCCTTGCAACCAATCATTATTAAACTGATCCCTATACATCTGCCCACTCTAGGTGTTTAATATTAGTGAGATCGTGTAATATTTGTGCTTTTGTGACTGGCTTGTTTCCCTCAGCATCATGTTTTCCAGGTTCATCCGTGTTGTGGCTGCATCAGAACGTCATTTCTCTTTATGGCTGAGTAGTGTTCCATTGCACGAATAGACCACATTTTGTTCATCCATTTCATCTAAATGGACCCTTGGGTTTTTTCTGCCTTTTGGCTCTTGTGAATAGTGCTGCAGTGAATATTAATGTACATAAATATACTATTGGATGTTTGGAGCCCTGGTGGCGCAGTGGTTAAGAGCTCAGGCTGCTAACCAAAAGGTCAGCAGTTTGAATCCACCAGCCACTCCTTGGAAACCCTGTGGAGCAGTTCTACTCTGTGCTGTAGGGTCTCTGTGAGTTGGAATTGATTTGATGGCAATGGATTTGGTTTATTGGATGTTTACAGCTGAGGCCAACTTCACTGTTAGACTCTGGATTGTTCATGGAGCTCTTAAACTTTCCAAACCCCAGTAATTGCAACTGGCAGAAACCCAACTCAAGTTGGTCTGAAGAGAAAGCAGAATTGACTGGTTCTTTTTGCTAGAAAATTCCAAAGGGGAAGCTTTAGGCATGCCTGGCTTCAGGGCCTTGAAAGTAGCATCAAGATATTGTCTGTTTAAAAAAAGAAAAAGAAAAAAAAGATTGTCTGTAGACATTTCTGTCCACTTAGTTGTTCAAGCTAGATGTTCAGCACCCATCACCTTTGAGTGAATGAGTCCATCTTCCTGTCAGTGCTGACCACTGTCTCAGTTTCCTCGAACTGCTGTAACAGAAACACCACAAGAGGGTGGCTTTAAAGAACAGAGTTTATTTTCTCACAGTTCTGGAGGCTAGCAGTCAGAATTCAGGGTATCAGCAGGGCTGTGCTCTCTCTCTACTGGCTCTAGGAAAGGTCCTTCCTGGTCTCATTCAGGTTCTGTAGCCCCAGATGTTTCTTGGTGTTCCGTGCCTTGTAGACGGATCCTCACATGCTGTCTTCCCCCTGTGTGTGCGTCTGTGTCTACACTCCCCTTAATAAGACACCACTGAGAAGGGATTAGGTTTAGGACCCATCCTACTCCAGTTTGACCTCATAAACATTAACAAAAGAAAACCCCCATTTCCAGACAGGGTCACATTCACAGGTACCGGCATTAGGACTTCCACATATCTTTTGGGGGTGTAATTCAACCCATAACACCTGCCTTACATTATTTTCCTATCCACCTAGTATAATGAAAATCTAAAATCTCGACATGTAACAGCCCTTTCTGGGATCATTAGCGCTTCAGATATGCTCAGCCTCCAGGAGCCACTTACGCAGTGACAAGTTTGGTTAAGACGGAATGATCACCACCAAGTAGTTGAGGACATGCCATCTGAGGAGCCCAGTGGTCTCTGAGTAACCTGAACAATTGTGTATTTGATTGATGGCAGCTCCGTGGCTTGGCCTTTTGGGTAACCTGGCCTCCCCCTTGCCCTACTCTGCAGCCAGCTATGCTGTCCCACCCCCTACCACTCCCTTCTGCTATGCACCAGCCAAACTGCTCCTTCCCTATCACACCACCCCTCCCCCATCCACTGCCCTCCTCTTGGATTCTAGACTAGGCCAAGCTCAATCCCACCTCTGGAGCTTTGCACATGCCGTTCCCACTGTCTGGAATGCTTTTCCCCTTTTGTTTTTGCTCAGCGGCGCCTTCTCACACTTGGCTCTCGGACCCTGAGATTGTCCCTGATCACCCCGGTGAAGCGCCTCTCCACCTCCTGCCAACCCGCTCTCTCACCACATCTCCCTGTCGCAGCTGAGAAGTGTTTGTGGAATTTTCAGTGTCTCTACCATGTTGGAAACTCCAAGAGGGCTTCTTGTCCCTCTTGTTCATCATAGTGTCCTCAGAGCCTACAAAGGGCCTGGCATGCAGTAGGGGCTTCAAGGGTGTTCCTTGAATGACCAAGACACCAACAGCCATTTTTATTGTCTTCTAGAACTTTCCAGAACCTGCAGTTTGACATAGATAAAAGAAGAAATGTGATTCACGGCCTGTCGTTTAATCACAGATGAGCTTCTAGAGAGAACCCTTCAATGTGCAGTCCTGCTCCTTCCTTAAGCGGTGCTCTACAGTCTGGATTAGCATCAGGGAGCCCACAGATATGCCCCAGATAATGTGAATCTCCTCCTTTTGACTGTCCTGTCCTTTCAGCCCTCGTCTCCAGCCAGCTGCTGGGGTATTGATGGAGGAGACTTCTGGCCCACAGGCGAGGGTAGGGCTGGCCCCCTCAGCGGGGGGACCCTGCCTACCATTTCCATCACTGTCTTGATAATAAATTGTTTGATTTGATCTGGAGGAGTCTACCATCTGCCAAATAAGTTCCTCTGGGAAAATTTATTTCCATTCATCTACCCAGCCTTTCTTCATTCATCTGTCTACCCATTCATTCCCTTCAACCTTTCATACAACTATTTACTTTTAAATTCATCTGTCTAAACTTCAATGCAGACACCCCTGCATCCCTTCTTCCACTTAACCATCCATCTGTTCATCGATCCATCTAGCCATCCATTTTCCCACACATCCATCTATCCATCCACCCTTTCATACAGCCATTCACTATTTCATTCATCTATCCAAACTTTTGTGCGACATCCCTCCATCCATTCTTCCACTTATTCATCGATTTTCCCATATATCCATCCATTCCATCCACTCTTTTCCTCCATTCATCTGTCTACCCATTCATCATTTAATCCACCTAGTCACTCTTTCATGCATCTATCCAAACTTTCATCTAGACATTTGTCCATTCATTCTTCCACTTATCCATCCATCTGCACTCCCACTCTCCCTTTTGTCCATCTGTCCATCCCTCTATTCATTCATACTTTCATGCATCTATTCATTACCCATGCATTCTTCCATCCATTTGCCTTTCCTCTCTTGTACATCATCTTCCTTTTATTCAACAAAATTCAGCATGTATTTACTGAGTGTGTGTTGTATGATATACATTGTGTTACATGGGGGATTCTGAATGAACAAGATATACCAAAATGACTTAGGTTTCTCTAGAGAAAGAACCAGTTAGACATAGATACACAGATACATAGAGAGAGATTGATTTACTTCAGGAGATTGACTCATGTTTTTGTAGGGGACTAGCAAGTTCAAAATCCATTGGTCAGGCAGTAGTCTGGAGACTCCTGCAGGCTTACATCCCAAAATTTGTACATCAGGTGACTGGAAGAGTGTTCTGGCAAAATGTCTATTTATAGTCTGAAGGCAGAACACACCCTAGGGAAACTCCCCCCCCCCCTTTTTTTTTTTTGCTCTTAAGGCCTTAAACTGATTGCTTAAGGCTCACCCGTATTATGTAAGGTAGTCTGCTTTACTTGAGGCCAGCTGATTTAATCACATGTAACTCTTCTATATCAGCAACTAGACTAATGTTTTACCAAATAACTGGGCACTATAGCCTAGCCAGGTTGACACACAAAATTAACTGTCACAGTCCACTCCTTGTTAACTAGGCACCTACACATATCTCCTTAAACCGTAAGTAATCTCCGAATAAAGATGAGCAAAGTCATACTTCTGCCTTATGTGATACAACTATCCTGCATACAACTGAAAAGCACCCCTTTTCCAGAGAAGATGCAGAATTAATATAGCTTCTTTTATGATAAGTAATGGAATAAGAGAGGAAGTAAAATAAATATTTTATATATATAAACTATACATATATATACACATATATATACTTAGGAGTATTCTTTCCTTATGTTCTTATGAATATGTTTGCAACTGGTCCCATGGTTATAGCTGGTATTATAAGTACCTTCTTCCACTACCAATTCCATGTTCCCTTTGCCCTCAACAAGCACTACAGCTGGCTGTGGTTCTTTGGGAGTGTAGCACACCTCCTCATGGGCCACACTTTGTGCCTCACTTTTCAGGGCCTGCTGGGACTTGAGTCTAGTTATAGGTCTAAAAGCAGAGATGGGTGGTGGGGGTGGGTCCTAGGACAATAAGCAGTGTCTTTGAAGGCATCTGCCTCGGGAGGTCATTGTAGGTTACTGCGGCAAAGTTGGATTAATCTCCGATGGGGGCAGAAGGGCTGATTCTACTGGCAAATATGACTCAACGTAATTTAGGGGCTCAATGCCCTCAGTTTCATCAGTATCTGCCCATATGTCCCCATTCCAATTTTCATAATCCATTTTTTCCCAATCAACGCTCTCACTTTAACCTCAGACACTTTGCGAGGTTGAGAATTCAGTTGGTGGTGTAATTCAACCACTCATAGGATGAGACTTCTGAGTTTGGTTTTCAGCAATCTAAGCTCTGTGGCTACAGGAGATAAGATTTTCTTTGAGACCGCACATAGCAACTTTCCTGTCCTTTATGCAATACTTGACCTGAGAATTTGAAGCCCTGAGCTCATCCTTTTCTTTCTCCACCTCATCCATTGAAAGTAGGAGCAACCAGCCAAGATCATTATACTTGTCAGTTTGACAGAAATGTTCTAAGGTATCAAATACATGATCACCCAGAGCCTTGTCTTTCCTAAGTATTTGATTAACAGTGTCCAATGGTGATATTTTGCGTTATCTCTATTGGCACATCACACCATGGACTACCAATGCCTTCTTTACTGCTGGAAATAGAGTCATTCATACCTTTAAATCTAACCACATTTGAGACCCAATTCTAGTAAAAGGAGATAGTATTTAAATGAGACTGTTTTGGATTATGATAAGCACTCCTGAAGAAACAAAAACACGGTGAAGTGATGAAGCATGATCAGCATAGGGATGGGAGGACTCCTTGGGGCACACAGGGAGAGACTGGACACACAGAGACCAGGGAGGACGCTGGTGCACCATCCACACCTGTGTGATTGAAGCTTGGGCTGGGAGAGTAGGAAAGTCCAGGTGGTGGGAGGAAGAGAGGAACTGGGGAGAGATTTCAAAGACAGACTGGCTAGCACTTAATGAATGAATAGATTTGAGAATTAAGAAGAGGTACCACCACCCGCCTTTCAGTGTGTTGTACTGTGGTTGCTTGCATGTTGTGATGCTGGAAGCTATGCCACCAGCATTTTAAATACCAGCAGAGTCACCCATGGTGGACAGGTTCCAGCAGAGCTTCCAGACTAAGACAGACTAGAAAGAAAGGCCTGACAATCTACTTCTAAAAACTCACCAATAAAACTCTATGGGTCACAGCAGAATATTGTCCAATATAATGCTGAAGATGGGCCCCCTAGGTTGGAAGGTGCTCAAAATACACAGTGGCCACAACAGTGGACCCAAGCACCCTGCTGACCCTGAGGATGGCGGCAGAATCATTGTTCCATTCCATTGTGCATGGAGTCATCATGAGTCAGAGCCAACTTGACAGCAGCTAACAAGAAGAGGTAGGAGATAAAGATGCCTCCTTGGATAAAGCCCAACTGGCAGAATAGAGTTGACTATTATGAAATTAATCAGTGGTAGCGACAATTGCAGCTGCTGTGACAGAAGTGGTGTCTTCACTAGAGCAGATTATTTTAGCCTCTGGTAACAGAATACAGCTATTCTTCTGGCGAATGTATTCTTTACATGCTTATCAAGGATTAGAAGCAGTTCACATTCACCTCCGGTGGATGACAGGCTGCACAGACAGGCACACAAACCACACACACACAAATGATTACATGCGTAAAAGGCGAAATCTGAGTCAGCTCTATGGATTGGACCAATAGCAAATCACTGGTCTTGATATTGCACTATTGTTATGCAAAATATTAATAGTTGGGGAGGCTGGGTGAAGGGTGAATAGGACCTCTACATTTCTTTGCAACTCCCTGTGATTCTGGAATTATTTCAAAATAAAAAAGTGCTCCTTCTTAAAAGCTTGAGTAGCTATCTAAGATACAACTATTGGTCTCTACTTGCCTGGAGCAAAAGAGAAAGAGGGAAACCAAAGACTCAAGGAAGAAACTAGTCTGCAGGACAAATAGTCTACATGAACCACATCCTCATCTACCCTGAGACCAGAAGAACTACATGGTGCCCAGCTACCACTACCAACTGTTCTAATCAGGGCCACAATACATGGACCCTGGCAGAATGGGAGAAAAATATGGAACAGAACCCCAAATTCCTAAAAACAAAGCCAGACCTCCTAGACTGGTTGACACTGGAGGACTCCCAGAGATTATTGCCCTGACATACTCTTCAAATCTGAACTGAAACTAACCCCTGAGGTCACCTGGTAGCTAAATAACAAATTGGCTGAAAAAATAATATCACCTGTAAGTACTGTGCTCTTTTAAAAATCACCTATACTTTAAAACAAAGATGAGAATGTAAGGGGGCAGAGAAACTAGATTAATGGAAATGGAACAACCAGAACAGAAACAATGTGAATGTTCATGCATTGTGAAGAATATAACCAAAGTCGCTGTACCATTTGTGTAGAAATTGCTGAATGGGAACCTAAACTGCTGTGTGAGCCTTCACTGAAAGCACAGTAAAATACTATTTAAAAAAAGGCACTCCTTAAATATAAGGGACAGGTTAAACATTAACATTTTCAATTAACTATTGAAATATCAGTCACAGAATACACAATTCACTTTGTTTAAATGTGCACAATTCAATGGTTTTTAGTATGTTCACAGAGTTCTGCAACCATCACCACAATCATTTTTTGTCACCCCCAAAAGAAAACTTGTGCCCATTAGGTATCACCCTCCAATCTCCACATTCCTCCCAGGCCTAGGCAACCACTAATCTACTTCTTGTCTCTATAGATTTACCTATTCTGAACATTTTATATAAATGGAATCATACAATGTGTAGCTTTTGGCAACTGGCTTCTTTCACGTAGCATAATGTTTCCAAAGTTCAGCCATGTAGCATTATCACTACTTTATTCCTTTTTATGGCTGAATAATATTCCACTGTATGGATAGACCACATTTGTTTATCTGTTCATTAGTTGATGGACATTTGGGTTGTTTCCACTTTCTGGCTATTATGAGTAATACTGCTATGAATAATCACGTACAAGTTTTTGTCTGAGTGGTGTACACTTTTAGTACACTTTTCTCAACAGTTAAACTTTATTCTATAGTGATTTCATTGATATATATTCCTAAATATTTGAGTTTCAAATGTACTATAATTAGAGTTATCTCTATTATTTTTAAATAGATAGTATGTCACAGGTTTTGTTCCCCAGTGTTATAGATTGAATTGTGTCCCCCTAAAGTTATGTTGATGTCCTAACCGCTAACTTGCATCACCAGGGCTCACTTCCACAGATGTAGTGGTAGGCTTCCAGCACATATTTGGGGTGGGGGGCACAATTCAGTCCATAACAGAAGCATCACATTAATTACTTCCTGACTCCTCACAACAACCCTGTGACTTAGGTTTGTCGTGCCCATTTGACAGAGGAGGAAACTGAGCAGTGAGGTGACTTGTTCGAACTCCTGCTCTTAGGTAGGGATGGGACTGAGAGCTGAGCCCAGTTCTGCCCGTCCCCACACTGTGAAACTCCCATGTTGTTCTGTCAGGTGTTGTTGAGTCGATTCAGACTCATGGCGACCCCATGTGACAGAGTAGAACTGCCCCATAGGGTTTCCAAGGCTGTAATCTTTACAGAAGCAGACTGCCGCATCTTTCTCCCCCAGAGTGGCTGGTGGGATTGAACCACCAACCTTCGGTTAGCAGCCTGGCGCTTAAACGTTGTGCCACACCCATACAGTGGTTAAATCCTGTTCACGTGGAGAACTGTTGACTCAGGAATCCCCCTCAAGTGTCCCTTCTCAGGGAAGCCCTGGGCGCTTCAGCCGGACCTGGGCTCTGGGCAAGTCCTCACTGGCGGACCTTGATCTCCGAGTACTCGGTGGTGCTGGTGGCCTCCGGGCCCTGAGGCTCCTGGGGCCTCAGCCCGTGGAAGACGAGGGAGGCGTAATGGAGTTCCTCCTCTTCTCCTGAGGTGGGGGTGGCCACAGCTGGGGGTGGGCAGTCTGGGAGGCCGCCTGGCCAGGAATCCTGCCTGTGACCCTGAGTGGAGGGGGGAGAAGGGGATCAAAGTAGGAAAATGGGGGCCAGGAGAAGGAGACAGGCTCCACAATCAAACCTGGAAACTGAGCATTTGGTCTTTGATCCATTCATTTCGAAAACATTTACCAGACCCTCATTCATTCAACAAACATTTAAGTGTAATAATACCTGGTTAAGGGGCGTTGGGAGCCCTGGTGGTGCAGAGGGTAAGAGCTACGGCTGCTAACCAGAAGGTCGGCAGTTCGAATCCATCAGCTGCTCCTTGGAAACCATACAGGGCAGTTCTACTCTGCCCTATAGGGTCACTATGAGTCAGAATTGACTCTACGGCAACGGGTTTGGAGTTTTTGGAGGGAGCCCTGGTGGCACAATGGTTAAGCTTGGCTGGTAACCCAAAGGTTGGCAGTTGGAACCCACCCAGCGGCTCCAAGGGAGAAAGATGTCGCAATCTGTTTCCATAAAGATTACATCCTAGGAACCCCTATGGGGCAGTTCTTCTCTCACTTAGAGTTACTATGACTCAGAATGGGCTCTATCACACACAACAACAATACCTGGCCCTCGCTCATCAATTGCCAGTCTCATAAAATCCTCCCAAAACTAACTGGGGAGGTGCTGTTGTTAGTTGCCGTTGAGTCATTTCTGACTCATGGCGACCCCACGGTGCAGAGTAGAACGGCTCCATAGGGTTTTCAAGGCTGGGACCTTTTGGAAACAGATCACCAGGCCTGTCTTCCAAGGCACCTCTGGGTAGGTTCAAACTGGCAACCTTTGAACTAGTAGTCAAATACTTACCGTTTGTACCACTCAGGGACTCCTGGGAAGGTGCTATTATCCGCATTTGTCAGATGGAGAAGCTGAGGCTGAGAGGCTAAGTAAATATCCCAAAATCACACACTGAATTAGTGGTGAGGCCCAGATTCATGCCCAGGGCTCTCTAACTCCAGCGCCCACTGTCTTATTGAACAGCTCCCCTGTGCCAGGCCCTGGATGTTCAGTGGGGAACTGAGCAGGCACCATACCTGACCTCACGCAGCTTCCAGTGTGGTAAAGGAGGCAGATATGAAGGTAGTAGTCAATGAAATTACTATCTAATTGCAAATTGTGGTAGGATGCACAAGAATGGAGTGATGTGATGAGGACAGGGATTTGCTCAGCCCTGGAAACTGCCCTGAAGAACTCTGATGACACAGTGGTTAACAGCTCGGCTGTTAACTGAAAGGTCGGCTGTTTAAACCCACCAGCTGCTCCACAGGAGAAAAGACCTGGCAATCTGCTACTGTAAAGATTACAGCCTTGGAAACCCTATGGGGCAGTTCTGTCTGTCACATGGAGTTGCTGTGGGTCGGAATCGACTCAACAGCAATGGGTTTTGGTTTTGTGGGACCCTGCCCTCAGGGAGCTCTTGGTATTTCACAGGTTCAGGCATCTGGATGCAATTGTGAAATTGTGTTACCAAAAAAAAAAAGAAAACCCATTGCCATCAAGGTGATTCCGACTCATAGCGACCCCATATGACAGAGTAGAAATGCCCCATAGGGTTTCCTAGGCTGTAATTATGGGAGCAGATAGGCAGGTCTTTTCTCCTGCAGAGCCACTGGGTGGGTTCAAATTGCCAACCTTTTATGTTAATAGCCGAGCACTTAACCGTTGCACCACTGGAGATCCTAGCACATGCAAAGTCACAAAAAGTTACTAGCTGGCTGGGAGCATTGAGGTGTGTGTGTGGCTGGGACACATGTGGGGGCATGGTGGGTGGGAGACAGGGAGAGGGGAAAGTGAGACACCTTTACAGTCAGACCCTGTCAAGATTTGATGGGAATTAAGGAGTTTGGACTTGATCTCTAGGCAACAGGGAGGACCTGAGGCATGTAAGCGCAGGGGCAAGTGGATGTGCATTAAGAATTGGTGTCTGAAGTGTGGGTGGTCTTGGGGACTCTTGAACTTTGTAGTTAACAATAATTATTTTGGGGAGATCCCTCTGGCATTTTGTCTTGGGGAAGCAGGAAGAAAGTGGGCCAGGGGTCCTGACAGAAATGAGGAGGTGGGGACAGGAAGGGCCCAGCTGGAGCTCAACAGCTCTTGGTGATCCTCCAGCTCTGGGAGACAAGACAGAAGGCAGAGGGAGGTGACTCCTTGGTCACTGGACTGGGTGACCGAGTTGATAGGGACCCAGGAGAAAAAGCTTATTGGGGCAAGAAGATAACCTAAGTCATCAGAGAAGCCTGGTGACAGTCTTCCCGGGAAGGTAACCAGATGGGACGTCGATGGACAGAGGACTCATCGCTCACCCACGTGATGGTTCCCAAGACAGAGGGGGCACCGGATCCTCCAGTTGTTGTCTTGGTTGCCATCTTCCTTCGGGTCTTCACCCTGAGGGAGGAGCCCAGGGCCTTCAGGCAGGAGGCTGTGGGCTTGGGGTAGGACTGCTGCCCCCTGCTTAAGAGGCTAGAAGGGCTGACCCAGGCTGGGAGGGGCGTGGGCACCATGTCTAGCCTGATGACTTTTATTAGGAGAACACAAGCCCCCTCCTGGAAGACTGGGCTCAAGAGTGGGAATTTACTCCTGCTCTGAATCTCTTCCAAGTTGCCGTCAAGTTGAATCTGACTCATGGTGACCCCATGTGTGTCAGAGTGGAACTGCGCTTCACATGGTTTTCAATGGCTGATTTTTTTGAGAAGCAGATCACCAGGCCTTTCTTCCGAGGCACCTCTAGGTGGATTCGAATCACCAACCTTTTAGTTAGTAGCTGAGCACTTAACCGTTTGCACCACCCCGGGACCCCATGAATGTCTGCCAGGGGTTTGTTTTAGGAGTCCCTGGGTGGTACAAACAGTTAAGCGCTTGACTGCTAATGAAAAATTAGCTATTCGGACCCACCCAGAGGTGCCTTGAAAGAAAGGCCTGGCCATTTACTTCCAGAAAAATCAACCATTGAAAACCCTATGGAGCACAGTTCTACTCTGACACACACAGGGCCACCATGAGTTGAAACTGACTGAATGGCAACTAGTTTGGTTTTTGGTTCTCAAGTTCCTAGGTCCTTGGATGGCACAATGGTTTGCTCTCAGCTACTAACAGAAAAGTTGATCATTCAAATCCAGCCTATGGCACCGTGGAAGAAAAGCCTGGGTATCTACTTCCCAAAAACCTGCCATTGAAAACCCTATGGAGTGCAGTTCTACTCTGATACACAGGGCGTCACCAGGAGTTGGAATCGACTCTGCAGAAACTGGTTTTCTGAATCTCTGGCCCAAGACCCAATTCTCACAGCAACCACTGCCCCATTCAGATTCCTCCACCTGGGATTCTTGGGGAATCCAGGGCCCGCACCCCCTCCCCCCCTCAAGGAAGGACACTCACATGAGGAAGATGAGGCAGGGACAGAGAAAGAGCGTGGAGGCGACACCAGCTCCCACGACGGCCGCCTGAACAAATCCTCCCTCACACTGGGGTTTCCCTGCTGACGAGAGGGATTTAGGGTGACTTCCCTCTGAGCCCCAGGACCCTTGAGCACCACCCTCCTCCCACAGAATGTGAGCACTCCTACTGATGAGCCCCCAGCCCTCAACACCAAACACACCCCTTTCCTCCAGCCCCAGAGACTCTGCCCCCAAGTTCTTCTAGAATCGACACTTCTTCCGCCCAAGCCTCAGCCCCTATCTGACCCCCGACCTGGCAGCAGTAGGACCGTGACGCTGTGGGCGCCATGGTCGTTCCGGGCCTCGCAGCCGATTCCGAGGCCGGGACTGAGCCCAGCGCGGAGGCTCAGGGAGCTGTTGGCCCAGGGCCCCGCGGAGCGGGAGGTGACCATGACCGAGGAGTTGCTGCTGTTTCCCTCCACCAGGTGGTCCCCAACCCGCCAGTGCAGGGAGGGGGCGGGCCAGGCTCGGGCGGAGCAGCTGCAGCGCAGACCCTGGGCCTCCCAGGAGCAGGAGGGGCTGAACAGCTGCGGGGCGTCTGTGCGGAGGGAGGGGAGAGCTCAGCGGCGGCCCCTCCCACCCAGGACCCGGGCGTCCTGCCTCCCGGGGCCCCCACACTCACAGAGCACAGAGAGGCGCAGAGAGACCCGCCGGGAGCCCAGCAGGTTCTGAGCTTGGCAGGTGACCTTCCCTTCGTCTTGCTTCTGAACCCGAGGCAGCTCTAGGACCCCAGGGTCCGAGGGCTGCGAGAGGCTCACGGGTTGTCTCCCCCTTACCCAGCTTAGGGTGGCAGGGGGGCTGCTGTCAGCGACACAGGCGAGGCTCAGGGACTGGCCCTCCAGGACTGGGAGGGACATGTCATTCCTGAGGTTGTCCAGGACTGAGGGGAAGGGAGAGGGAAGCAAAGAGGCAGGATAGACGTGGAATGGAGGGTACAGGGACCCTCTTTCATACCAGTGTTCCAGATACCCGGGCCCACGGTGTCGTTCTCTGTCCCTCCTTCATACCTGTCCTGTTTGCTTGGGACACCATCACTCTCAGGTTCTCTGGAGGATCTGAAAAGGAGACAGGCGCCTGGCTCAAGGTGGGCAGAGGCTTCCCTGTGGGCAAAAGGGAGCCATCCTGGGGCTAGGGGTTTGTGGGGAGATTGCTGAGCCCCAGGTACAAACCACACAAGAATTCAGACAGGTAGGAAGCCTGCTGCCATCACCCTGGGGACAGGCCCCCTCCCAGCTCTGGGAACTGATTCCAGAGCCCCCGCTGCCACACTGTCCCCCCTCTTGTAAACCCACCCTCACACTCACACTGCACAGAGAGGTCCAGCGAGCGCTGCTGGGAGCCCAGTCTGTTCTCTGCTCGACAGGTGTAGTGCCCTGTGTCCTGGGGCCCCACCCGAAGCAGCTCCAGCCTCAGGTTTTTGGAACCCGATGAAGGGGACCAGGAAAGCACCCTGTCGTCCAGGACCCAGCTCAATGTGGCCCGGGGCTGGCCATCAGCCGCACAAAGCAGCTTCAGAAACTGGCCTTTCTGGACTTCCAGATGTGAGATGTTTCCCTGGGGCTCTGGGGCTGGAGAGGGAGGGGGAGAGTTGCAGGGAGGGGCGCCAGCTCCCTAAGGCCCCCAAAACCTTTTTGTTCCCCCAAATGGACTGGCTTAGTCCCTGCTCAAATCACTGCCCCCCCACCCCCCCCACACACTGGTACCTGACCCTTTAGCCCTGGAAATGCTGATGACAACGTCCTTTGGGGCATCTGCAAAAAGATTGTGAGTTGGCTTTGGGAGGAGTGTTTCCCCACAGCCACCCAGCCAGAGAGAGCACCCCGGGAAAGACAGTGTGGTGCCCCAGGGAGGACCAGGGACAGCCAGCACCGCGGACACAGCTCTGCCCAGAGGATCACACTGTCCCAGTCACCTCCCAGGGCAAAGGCAGCTTCCCAGGACCCACTTTTCCTCCCATGGACCCTCCGGAGCTCCAGCCTGCTGGTTGTCATGGTGATTTCTCACCTCCCTGTGCACCTGGCCTGTCCCCACACCCCAGTTGCCTGCCCCCAAACTCACTGGCCACACTCAGTCGGACGGTCCTCGCAATGCTCATGCCATTTCTGGAGAAGTCCACTCGACAGGTGAGTTGGGTGTTGTGGTCCTGGGGTCTCGGTGTGAGGGTGAGCACTGAGAAAAGGGAGGCTTGTGGTCCAGCTGCTTGTTGGGAGACGACCGCCCCCGTCCAGGAGAACGTGGGGGCCGGACAGCCCTCAAAGTTCCCGGGAAAAACACAGAGCAGTGTCGCTGGGTGTCCCGGCTCCAGGGTCTCAGGGATGTAGACATCAGGCTTCTTTGTCAGGCCTGGGGAGGAGAGAGGGGGGATCCTAGCCCCCAGACTGTGGCCCATCTGTCACAGTGACTTCCCAGCCCATCCTGGCTCGAGCCAGCTCCATACCTGTCACTTCCAGGGATAGCGTGTATTTCATGAAACTAAATTTCACATAATTTCCTCTCTCCACCCGAAAGAAGTACACGGCCATGTCCCTCCTCTGTGCGTCTCTGATCACCAGCGAGCAGCTCCTGTCCCCGGGGTCCCCGAGGAGCTGGAATCGGTCTCTGGTCTGAGAGTTTACTTTCCTGCGTGGGTTGTTTGTGGCCACTGGAGCATCCAACATGGGATTGGCCTGTTCCCGGAACCAGTAGCCGAAAACTGGGTCAGGGTGGTTCCAGCCACCTGGAGGGTAGGAGAAGGTGCAGGGTATCAAGACACACAGGCCCTCCTGCACCGTCACCGACTTTTGCACCTGCAGCTGGTATTTGTCATCCAGATCCCGGGACTCTGGGGGAGACCGAGGATTAGTGGGAGCCCCAGCCCCTGCCTGGGACCCCTGGCCCCCAACACACTCGATCCACCACAACAGCGGCAGCAGTAGCGGCAGCAGTGGCTGCATCTCTGCAGTTAGGGGAGCTGGACCTGGCACCCTCTGTCTTCTGGATCTGTCTGTCTGTCTGTCTGGAAAGGAAGCTCTGACAGGAAGCCTCAGCAGGGAGGGGCAGGGACTGTCCACAGAAGAGGAACCTCAGCAGCCCAAGGTTCCTGGGAGATCGCCTGCCTCTTCCTACTTTTTCCACACATGCATGGCTCAGGATGGGCAGTGTTTCCTTCTGTATTACATAAGGTCCCGTGCCATCCTCACAGTTGTTGCTACATTTGAGCCCATTGTTGCAGCCACTGTGTCAATTCATCTCGTTGAGGGTCTTCCTCTTTTTCAATGACACTCTGCTTTACCCAAGGTTCACTATGAGTTGGAATTGACTCTACAGCAATGGGTTTTTGGGTTTTCTACTTTACCAAGCATGATGTCCTTCTCCAGCGACTGTTCCCTCCTGATAGAACAGGTAAAAATTGTTGAATTGGCAATCTTTTCTTATGTATATATTTACCACAGTAACGAAAAAAAAAAAGTTGAAATGGCAAATGTTTTGTTATATATAATTTTATCACAATAAAAACCGAAAAAAGGGAGAAAAAAACCCTACAAGGACCATTTGAGAAATTACCACAGTCAAGAGGGGTTTAAGGAGACATGTTGTTGTTGGGTGCCCTGGATTTGATTCCGACTCATAGTGACACTGTAGGGCAGAGTAGAACTGCCCCATGGGGTTTCCAAGGAGCGCCTGGTGGATTTGAACTGCCGACCTTTTGGATAGCAGCCAAATGCTTAACCACCGGGCCACCAGTGCTCCATCCACAGTTATAGGGGTTAGGATTTACAACACAGATTTTTAGATGACACAAGATTCAGTCCATAACAAGGCCTGATACGGAGAAGGAGCTTGATAAATATCAAATGAAAGAATGAACAAGGGAGACCAGGTACCTCCCCAACGAGGCCCACACTGAGCAGAGCCCTCTAGACATCACTGAGAGGCTCTCATGCTTGGCATTTCCCATGAGCTCTGCACACATGGCCCCATGGGTCCCCGCAGCCTTCCTAGGACAGGCCCAGGAGCCTCAAACCCAGGTCCAGGTGACCCCAGGTTCTTGTTTCTCTGCCTCACTTTTCTCCCACTCCCTCAGGATAGTCCATGTGCAGTAAAGGGTTAACTCAACAAACTTGGGGTGTTCAAATCCTGCACATTCCAAAGAAAGGACTAGCCCTTGTCTGGCTCCTGGGAGCTAACCTCTAACCCCCTGGAATATCCTGCCTAAGAAAAGCGGTTGCTATCGAGCCAACTTTGATTCTTGGTAATCCCATGTGTGTCAGAGCAGAAATGTGCTCCATGGGGTTTTCTTTCTTTTTTAATTTTGTTGTTGTCTTTGAGAATATACACAGCAAAACATACACTAATTCAAATCTTCCACATGTACAAGTCAGTGACATTGATTACATTCTTCTAGTTGTGCAACCATTCTCACTCTCCTTTTCTGAGTTGTTCCTCCCCCATTAACATAAACTCACTGCCCCCTAAGGTTCCAATCTAATCTTCGGAGTTGCTGTTGTCACTTCGATCCCATATAGACGGTTCTTTAAAGAGCATAATGCTCAAAGCAGACATTTTTCACTAGTTAAGCTAAACTATTCTTTGATTTTTGGAGGCCTGGTGGTGCAGTTGTTAAGAGCTATGGCTGCTAACCAAAGAGCTGGCAGTTTGAATCCACCAGTCACTCCTTGAAAACTCTATGGAGCAGTTCTACTCTGCCCTACAGGGTTGCTATGAGTTGGAATTGACTCGACAGCAACTAGTTTTGTTTGGGTTTTATTCTTTGATTTTAAGAAGACTTCAGGGGATATTTTTGGTTTAAGGTTTAAAGATTGTCTCAGGACCATAGTTTCAGGGGTTCATCCAGCCTCCATGGCTCCAGAAAGTCTGGAGTCCATGAGAATTTGCAATTCTGTTCTGCATCTTCCCTCTTTTGATTAGGATTCTTCTATATCCATGGGGTTTTCAATGGCTTTGATCTTTTGGAAGCATATTGCCAGGCCTTTATTCCAAGGCACATCTGGGTGGACATGAACTGCCAACCTTTTGGTGAGGAGATTAATGCACAACCATTTGCGCCACCAAGAGACCCAGACAGTCCATTTCCCTCCTCAGTCCGTGGGGCACAGAGTCGCTCTCTCCCTAACTTGGGGGAGACATTGCCCCCCTCCCTGGACCTGTTGACACCACAGACCAGTGCTCAGGTTCTCTGTGCACCCATTGGTGGACCTGCAGGCTCTGTGCTCCACAGACCCAGCTCTTGTCTATGTCAGGGAGTTGCTAAGGAGGAAAATTGCTGAGTTTATCACAAAATCATGGAAGGAAATGGTATGCAAAGAACTGGAAAGTCACAGAGAAAGCATCAGTTCCTTCTTATTTTTAACCAAATATCTTCAAGCAAGTTTCACTTCCCTGCATATGCCCCTCAAAGATGAGGTGTTTTTTATTACTTAGAACTAAATGGCCTGGGTTTTACCTCAGGACACCACACCACATTAGCAGAACATGACCCACCTGTGACCTGTCAGCCCAAGGTCCCTCCTCCCCTGTCCCCCTCCGTCCCACAGCTGCCCTGTCGTCCACTTGCAGGCCTAGACTCCCGGGACAGCAGCTCAGGAAGGGGGTCAGGAGCTACTCTGCAGGGCCTCTCTCCCTAACTCAGTGACTCTTACTTGATTTGAGTCAGCTTTTCAATTTCTGCACAACTGAAAACAGGCCCCTAAAAATATTGAATATACCGTGGACTGCCAAAAGAACAAACGAATAAGTCTTAGAAGGAATACAACCAGAATGTTTCTTAGAAGCAAGGATGGCTAGACTTTGACTTGCTTACTTTGGACATGTCATCAGCAAAGACCAATTGCTAGAAAAGGATATCATGTTTGGTAAAGTAATTGTTGTTAGGTGCCGTTAAGTCACCTCTGACTCGTGGCGAGCTTATGTATGACAGAAGGAAAGCTTTCCTTCTGTGCCATCCTCACAGTTGTTGCTATGTTAGAACCCATTCTTGCAGCCACTGTGTCAATACATCTTGTTGAGGGTCTTCCTCTTTTCTGTTTACCTCCACTTCACCAAGCATGATGTTCTTCTTGGGAAATTGGTGCCTCCTGATAACATGTCCAAAGTAAGTGAGACAAAGTCTTGCCATCCTCGCTTCTAAGAAGCATTCTGGCTTTACTTCTTCCAAGATAGACTTGTCCATTCTTCTGGCAGTCCAGAAATTAGAAGATCAGTGAAAGCAAGGGAAATCCTCAATGATATGGATTGACACAGTAGCTGCAACAATGAGCTCAAACATACCAACAACCATGAAGATGGCAGATGATGGGACAACATTTCATTCTGTTATGTATAAGGTTGCCATGAGTTGGAGCTAACTCGACAGCAACTAACAGCAAAAAAATTGACCTTCTGTGTTAGTCACAGTTCTCCAGAGAAATAAAACCAATAGAAGATATAAATATAGAGATAGAGCGGGATTTATTTTAAGGAATTGCCTCACCCAATTGTGGGGACTAGCAAGTCAAAATCCATAGGTCAGGCAGCTGGCTGGAAACTCTAGCATTTTTGAGTCAGAAATCCATAGGGCAGGTGGTGGGCTAGAAACTCTGGCAGGATTTCTATGTTACAATCTTGAGGCAGAATTCCTTTGTCTTTAGGAAACCTCAATTTTTGGCTCATAATCCTTCCATTGATTGGATGAGGCCCACCGACATTATCAAGGGTCATCTCCTTTGCTCAATGTCAACGGATTGTGAATGTTCCCATTGCCTTCCCCTAGATTCCGACTCTGGCGATCTCATGTTTGCAGAGTAGAACTATGCTCCACAGGATTTTCAAAGGCTGTAACCTTCCAGACCCAGATTGCCAGACTTTTCTTCCCAGGCATTTCTGGGTATGTTTGAATCACCAACCTTTCAGCTAGTAGCCACATGCTTAACCATTTGCGCCATCTAGGGACTCCTGATGGCAGATGTTAATCACATGTAAATACCTTCGTAGCAACACCTAGACTGGGTTCAGGAGATCGCCAGGCTTTTCTTCCTAGTTGCTTAACAAATCCTTTTGAGTATTTTAATAATTAACATTTTCTTAATAAACTATGTTATGCCAGTTGACATAAATGTTCCCTAAAACTATGGTCCCCAGGTCCCAATCCCAGCTACTCTGCCCCTCCAAGTGTTTAGATGTGTCCAGGAAACTGCTTTTGCTTTGGTCCAGTTGTGCTGACTTTCCCTGTATTGTGTGTTGTCCTTCCCTTCATCAAAGTTGATCCTTGTCTACTATGTAGTTAGTGATTTCCCCTCTCCTCCCCACCCTTGTAATCATCAAAGAATGCTTTCTTCTGTATTTACACCTTTCCTTGAGTTCCTGTAATAGTGGTCTCACACAACATTTGTCCTTTTTTATTTCACTCAGCATAATGCCCTCCGGATTCATCCATGTTGTAAGATGTTTCGCAGATTCATCATTGTTCTTCATCGTTGCATAGTATTCCATTATGTGTATGTACCATAATTGGTTTATCCATTCGTCTGTTGATGGGCACTTAGGTTGTTTCCATCTTTTTGCTATTGTGAATAGTGCTGCAATGAACCTGGGCGAGCATATGTCTATTTGTGTGACGGCTCTTATTTCTCCCGGGTATATTTCTAGGAGTGGGATTGCTGGATAGAATGGTATTTCTATTTTTAGCTTTTTAAGGAAGTGCCATATCATTTTCCAAAGTGGTTGAACCATTTTACATTCCCACCAGCAGTGCATAAGAGTTCAGTCTCCCCACAACCTCTCCAACATTTGTTATTTTGTGTATTTTGGTTAGTGCCAGCCTCATTGGGGTGAGATGGTATCTCATTGTAGTTTTGATTTGCAATTCTCTAATGGCTAATGACTGTGAACATTTCCTCATTTGTCTATTAGCCGCCTGAATGTCTTCTTTGGTGAAGTGCCTGTTTATATCCTTTGCCCATTTTTAAATTGGATTATTTGTCTTTTTTGTTGTTGAGGTTTTGCAGTATCTTGTAGATTTTAGAGATTAGACGCTGATCGGATTTGTCGTAGCCAAAAAATTTTTCCCAGTCTGTAGGTTGTCTTTTTACTCTTTTGGTGAAGTC